CGAATCACTCTGAACTAATATTTTGCTGTGAACTAATCTTTCGCTGTGAACAAATCACTCTCTGTGAACGAATCTTTCTCTTTGTTCTTCGCAGATTCGTTTCATTTGTCACGCGAAAGAACTCGGGTCTTTTTTGCTCTCATTCAACTTCACATTGTGGTGTGTTTTTATTTCTTAGCTTTTCGCATGGTTTTAATTGCTTATGGAATTTTGTGTACTTTGTAGACTCTGTCAGCGGAACCAAACCATGTTGCCTTCATTATTTAGTGTCGGAGAACCGCAGCCTTCTTTACAACGCCCACAATAGGGCTAAAGTGCCACCTGCTGTAAAACGAATGAAATTATTCGTTCAAGATTCGTTCACGACTCGTTCATTTTACTGTTCGAGAGTCAAAGATCCGAATCAGTAAAAAGAGTCGGTCTTCCCATCACTAGTACAGAGTGGTAAAAGTACATGTACTGGTGGCGACAGTCAATCACTTGTTTCCAGCCATTTTACATCAGTTAGCACAGAAGAGCCCTGTGTAGTTAACAGAAGGGACAGGCACGTCGTAGCCACAGATACCATACGAGTGTCCATCCATGCACTTGTGTTCTGACATGCAGGATCGAAAAACAGATCACAGAGCAGAAGCTTCATTATGACCAGGCTTGCAAGCTCTTGTCTGTGTATTTTTCTTCCGGAGTTGTTGGGTCATGAGATGTATATGTCACAACTTTCAAGTTTCCTATACATGCTGTTTTTGTGGACATTTTGTATGTTTTGTATTGTTTGTTTTGAGAACCTCACTCATCATTTGTCATCATTTGTTATTAAATGATCATATTTATTATTTAATATTTTATTTTATCGTCATATCGTATTTTCATGTCATAAATTAACTCAACCCTGATGTCCATACAGAAGAAAACCGTCGCTTTACCGTGGAGTAATAGATCTGATGTATGTTGAGGTCTGGTCAAAGACATGTGGGTCCGTGCTGTGCTGAGTGCAGACAGATAACGGGGCAGCTGTTGCTGTAACAGGCACCAAATGCTGCACTTGAAAACTGCAATTTTATCCAATTCTGCCAAGTTATGAGACTCTATCTATGATTACAACAGTGCCCCTTAAGTTGTTATGAACAAAACATCAAATTACAAACAGAAAAAAAATAAACATCATAAACATCATCTTTGCATTTGTTTAAGTTCTCATCAGCCACATATAGTGCAATAGTCTAAATCAGGTATTAACAGACTGGGGTTGAATCTAACAGCATATAGCCAATCCTCTATTGTTATATATGTGTCTAGAACTTTCAGAATCTTCCATGCTTCTCGTTCTGCATTTGAAATTGAATTTGTAAATAAATAGCTCTATAGTCTCATGTAGCACCTTTTTTAAGCTTTTATTTATGTAAGTTAGATACAATCTTTTCTAAAACAGTTGCGTGATGTCTGTTTTAAATATTATTTTGACTTGTTTCTAAGGAATTTAAATGATGTTTGTTTTTTCTTAGTCTGCACATAAACATCAAAATTTGTATATTCATAAAAGACATTGATTTATTTTACTTCTAATAATTTAACACAAGTCTGTATTTTAATTCACTAAATCTATGACATGAAATTGGAAAGGTTGAGAACAACTGTAGTGTGGTTTGTTTACTGTGGCTGGTGGCAGGATACACTATTGCCTCTCCATCTTTACAACAGCAGCAAATTAGTGCAATTGCTATTAAGGCTCAGAGAGACAATACAATAAAACGGAAGCATCTTTCTGCCTGATACAGACACAATCAGACAAACAGTGTTCTGTCAGCAGTGCAAAGACTACACAGACTGACAGAGCAGACAACAATGGCCAGAGCTGAGATAACAGGAAATGTCAGCTTATCAGAAAAAAGGGGAGAAACAGAGAGAGAGCATAATGATCATTGTTCATCAATGTCCTCTGGCATGAAAACACAGATGTGGCTTTTCTGTGTGGATCCAGTAATGAAAGATTGAAAAAATGAAACATTTCAGATTTTTCCTAGAAGTGAAATGTAGAAGTAGAATTAATAAAGCAACTCAAAGTGGAGGCAAATCCATCACCTTTATAATTTGAGTTCCGTTTCATTGGCTTTGATTTGTTTAGATTGAGTCACTTCTCGTGGGAAGTTTGTTTAATTTCACAGCTGAAGGAACACCAATGATTTTTTTAGGGAGTGTTTTCCTTGTTCAACTTTCTCTACAAGCTATTACAGTAAATCCTGTAAATGCAACACAGCCATAAAGCACAGAATATTAAACTGCTGTTTACACAGAGAACGTATAGCTCTTGATGACAACACTTAGGGAACGTATGAAGGTAATTACTGTGGTCTTTTGAAGATGCTTTTTTTTCCCTCAAGAGAATAAGAAAACACAATGGGCTTTGGACTGAAACCAGAGCGCGGGTCATTTGGTAACGGCCCACTACATTAAATTATTATTATTATTATTATTATTATTATTATTATTATTATTATTATTATTATCATTATTATTATTATTATTAACTGCTCCCTGTTGGACTGTAACAATAACCACAGTCTACAATTAACAGTGACCATGATAAATTCAGGAGGAGATGTCTGACTAAGACAGCAGTGCTCCCCTAATCTTACATGTTTAGAATTCCTTTCTGCTTGGCTGTAATAAGCTTCAACTCTTTAGAACAAAGTGTTGGAATTGCAATAGCAAGATTTTAAAGATGTGATAAAAGACAAAGAAGACATAAAACAACCTGGAGGAGAATGTTGGGCTGTTAAGACCTGAAAAGAGGTCTGAGTCTTAGTAAAACTAGAGAAAAATAAAGAAACACATCGTTCATTAGTATATAAATATTAATAGGCAAAAAAGGAAAAGAAATAATCATTTTGGTAAATTCTATAAAAAAATGTATAATTTAATATGATCAGACCGCAGGACTACGAAACATAATTTCAAGCAAAGGTTTATACACTTCCTCAAAAAAAAAAATAATAATCAACTTCTAAACTGTAAATAAAAGAATTATTCACCAAATGACGGGCACAGAACACATTTGGCCCTAACAGGCTTAACATTCAATTCAATTAGAATGTAGCGTAATCTCCTTAAGACATTTATAACAAGGAAAATGGGGGAATATGAATACAGTCAATGTTGTATTAAACTCATTATAAGTGCAAAGTAGAGCAGCAGCATTATTTAAACCGAATTAGATCACTTAGAGCAAGCAACAAAATGTTTCATCATCGCAATTAAGAATGTGTTTTAGATTAACGGTCTGAAGAAAAAAAAACAGTTCCTCAGTACCAGAAGGAAAATAAATTTGGCCTGTTAATATGTTACAGAATAGAACTGTCAAGTAAAAGATGGAGAGAATATGCATAAGCTTCCAACCCTAAGGCTGTATTTCATTAGTGACCAGCTTATTTCATTAGTGACCAGCTTACTACTATAAAATAAAAATGAATAAAAAAACAAAAAAACAATATCATTATTTAAAAAAGAATTTAGAAAGACCTTATGTCCTGCGACTTTGTTAATTTGTGTTAAGCGATAGCTTTACACAAATTAACAAAGTTGCAGGACATA